TGAACCTATGCTAGGTAAGCACTCTTCCACTGAGAAATGTAAATGTATTGTATAACTAAAATGTACCAATAAAAGAATTTTTAAAAAATGATTATAACTTTAAATGATAGTTTTATTGAGTAAAGTTTGATATAAGTGATTTATACCCTAAATTCTTTCATGAAACCTTTAAAAATAATTAAGGTTGCCAACTGTAATAAAGACCAGCTGCTACTTAAACAAGCCAATGGAAAGAACAAACATCACTGTGACTGGTTAGGAGACATGTTGTCTCTAATAAATCCACATGGCACTATCCAGTGTTATGTAGCAGATCAGTGTATATCATGTACTTAAGAAAGAGTTTTTCTATGAAAGACCACAAAGTTTATCTAGTAGTTAAAATATATCCTTGCCTCAGTCAGAGACTAAATAGCAGATAAAACCTATTGCATGGAATAAATTTAGCCAATGTAATAAATACTAGGTGTCAAATTCTGTACATTTCAGTTGTTAAAGTTAATCATTCTTATGAGTGAAATAGAGTCTTAAGTGAAAATTGCTATTTTCCATGAATAAATTGAAATAGTTTTAAATTATATGGGTTTTGTTTGTATTTTGAATTCAAAGCAAGACATTCAACCTTATTAGAACTTCCCTTTGTTTATTATTAGTGCTTGTTAATTAACAGTGCATAAAGCAATCCCATTTTATGGATTTGTGTACTACACTCTTAAGGAAAATCTATTCTCCACTACTGGATAGTTAAAACTTGCACTGCCTTCCTACCACAATTATGATAAAATCCCTATTCCCTACCAAAGCAAAGAGGATCCTCCATTGGGTATTCTAGTTATCTCTCAGTCTGTTTTGTACTTCATTCACTACAGTCCTGTCTCAGTGGCTGTGATAGTCAGAATTCTGACATGTGCGCCAAGATTCCTGTGCACTGGTGTGCATGTCTCCTGTATGATCACCCCTTGATTGTGAATAACACTTGTAAATACATGGGATAGTCGATCTTTACAAGGTTATGATGAAGCCTTGACAGAAGATTATTTGAAAGTCACTCCATAATAACATTACATAAAACTCTGTAAATATATATACACACACATATACATGATATAAACATGTTTATTTTAATCAACTAGGCATTATTTAGGCAAATATATATATATATATATATATATGCATGAGAGTGGCACCTCAGTTTATGAACTTAATTTGTTTTATAATTTCAGGAGAAGACAGCTGCATTTGTATTTGTGTGGGGAAAATATAATATATATAGACATATATAAGTATATATAGAGATACATAGGTATATATATATGCATGGGAGAAATATGGCTAAATGTGTATGTGCCCACATATGGCTGCTGTGATTCTGTACTGTTTCTCAATCAATTCTCATACTTAGATTTCTTGAAAAATTTTTTATTAGTCTATGCTTGTAATACATCATAAAATACATTCACTGTGGAGAACTGGTACATATGCATACCACATCTTAATCCTTTTAACTTCTCTTCCTCTCTCCACAAAGTCTACCTCCCTCTTTCCTGTTAGATTTCTATGTGTTAATGGTTACTCATCTCTCACATCCTCACAATGACCAAATTAGGAACCTCAGATTTGTAACTGAAAGTGCAGCTTCAGGAAGAACCTACAGTCTAATGTCTCACCTGGCCCCAGTCTCCTGTCACCCAGCGAGGAGGTGGGCAGCGCCCCAAGCTGCAGCGGATGCGGACAGGAGGTTTGTTCTCCTCTGGACATTGTGCAGATGGAAATGTTTTAGAAAGGTCACTGCTCTTGCACAGAACAATCCGATGCTTGTATCCTGGACCACATTTTGGAGTACACTGGAAATAAAGCAAATACTAATAAATAACAACAGTTAAAGCCAGAAAAACTGGAGGAAAATCTTTCTTGAAGTAAATATGCATATGTATAGTATATACATGCACACTAAATTCTAGGAAAAATCTTTCAGACATGAAATGCCTTAAAAATTTTTAAGCAGAAGTAATTTTTAGTTTTATCTTTTCCCTAAGGTCTTTAAAAGCTAAATCCAATGTTTCTTTTTCTTGGCTAACTTATTTTCTTCTTTTATTAGGGATAGGTTTATACCTCTATTCATCCCAATCTTTGGCCTCATTCAGCTGTCATAAGATTCTGCTAAGTTCTGTAATGTGGAATCCTTGGTTTCCTACTTGTTGGGTGTACTCTTCTAAAAAAGAATTTTTATGTTATTAGTAGACCACAGGAACTTGTCTGTGTGATACAAGTTTTAAGTGGAGATCAACTATTGTTATTGTGCAGAAGTTAAAGATATATGGTCACAGGTGAAGGTTTATTGGATAGAAAATCACTAGACTTCTTTCTTTATCCTTCAGTTACAAATAATAAATCTGACTATTTTTTACAATTGGGTGTATCTGTTCTTCATACTTAGGAAAAGATGCTATGTCACAAATTCTATTATTTATCTCATCTCTAGGCATTTCTATAAGTCACCTATTTGACATGGTGCTGAAGTCCTCTAGCATTGTCCTCCACATGTCAGGACCCTTTCTTAAAATCTGTACTTTCTCTTAGTCAGGTGAGGGCCTTACCCACAACATTTAGAAGCACTGAATCTGAAACTTCCATTCAAAACACACTTCCTGATCTACTGATGACCACACCAGATTTGAGGGAAGTAGAAATGAATGAGATAATTTAACCCCATGGAGCTCAGAGTCTTATTTAGGAGACAGAAATACAGGTTAATGTTAAGTACCATAAGGGTGGATGTAGAACAGAAATTCTTGTGGGCCTAATCACCAACGACCAGTTTTATAGTTATTTATTTATACACCTTCTCATGTCTACCATACTATATGCTCCTGAAAAGTATTTGGCTTCTGATTCATCTTTACACATACACACACACACACACACACACACACACACACACCTTACCCCTGGGATACAGCTGTGCTAAGTACTATAACTTATAGAGTCCTTTAAAAACTCCTGTGAGATGCCAATTATTATTTTTTAAATGAGGAAAAAAACTTAGAATAATAAGTAGAAATTTGAACAGATACTAAATGGTGAAACTATTCTAATGCTAATTCTCACAAGTGTTTCTTGAATGTTAGGCCCTATACTATGTAGTTTGCGTATATTGTCTAATTTAATCTTCATAATCCTACTAATTTATACTTTCAAGAAACAAAGTCATGCAATAATTTCTTTATAATGAATAAAGAGCTCTGATCCAAGACTTTTGAGTTTGCCCAATGGGTGTCTAGTCCTCTTGACTTCACATCAAATCTACTACATCAGCTAAGCCTGATGTTAAGAGGATTTCTGCCACTCTCTTAATGCTAATATTATCAGAGTAAGAAGAACCGTGCCACCTTACCTTCCAACAGTTCACAAAATACCAAGAAATACCTCATTAAATATGGGTTTTTGGGAATTATTATAGATGAGGAAAGCTTAAGTGACTTTATGAAGGATAAACAGTAAATGTAAAGCCAGAACTAAATCTTAGGCCTTCTGACTCATTCTTTAGGACCTATTCATTATTTGTTCATCTCTTATTATTTTATTCACAGGCTGTTTTTCATTCCAGCAGGAACAAATTCATAACAATACATAATAAATCTTAATTAATTGATTATTATAAAATAAATGGAGATGAAATGTGAGAGGATAGAAGGCCCCTTTGTATTTTAAGGAGATAGGAAGAATTAGTTTTTATATTCTGAGGCTACAATTAATGTCTAACTTGGGAGTTTACCTTAAAAAATGCACTGGTGCCATTTCCTTGCCCTTGTCACATTTTTTAATTATGTGTAGTATATTAAAGGCTGAGGCACATTTATTTTGCCTATCATAATATCTTTTTCCAGTAGAAATAAGCTTTGACTATTATGTTAAGAATGTAGTAATATCTAGCAATCTTTTCAAAAAGCTTATGGCAAGTGCTGCTTACAATTAAGGGAGACAGACAATGCAGACAAACAATTCATCCATCTGTCTTAGGACACCCAGGAAACCAAAGCACAAACTAAACACACAAGATTGACAACGAGAAGAAATACACAGGTACTAATTAAGCCCTTTGATTGTAATAACATAATCTTCATTGAAACCCCATGAAGACTATTTTCATGCCTATTTCACCGGTGATGCAACTGAAGCACCCAGAAGCACAGATAGATCCAAATGGAAGATTCCTACCTGAGTAAAGCTTGTTCCTACAGAACAATATGCAGTCATAAGCAAAGGTAATTATACAATGACTTCTGCTTAGGCAAGAAATAATTTTATAAAATCACACTCAAACACTACTAAATAAGCCAAGGACAATCCTGTCCTATAGCAGTAGAAGTAGACAATCAACTGGATTCTCAAAATAGGGAAAGCCAGAAAACTACAGTAGCTCCTCCTTTATCTGTGCTTTTGCTCTCTGTGATTTTTGTGCTCTGAAAATATTAAATGGAAAATTCCAGAAGTAAACAATTCATGAGTTTTAAATTGCATGCCATTCTGTGTCATGTGATAAAATCCTGCATAGTCCCACCTGGGGCATGAATCATCCCTTTGTCCAGCATATCTACACTGTATACACTACACCCCTAACCCCAGTCACTTAGTAGCTATCTTGGTTATCAGATGTCTCCCTAACACAATGCTTGTGTTTAACTAACCTTTATTTTACTTCATACTGGCCCCAAAGTACAAAAGTAGTAATGCTGGCAATTCAAATATGCTAAAGAGAAGCTATAAAGCACTCCCTTTAATTGAAAAGGTGAAAGTTTTCAACTTAAGGACAGAAAAAAATCATATGCTGGGGCTATTAAGATCTATGGTAAGAATGAATCCTTTGACCAAATCTTCTACTTGTGAAACTGAAGAAGGAAAAAGAAATTTATGACAGTTTTGCTCTTGCAGCTCAAATGCAAAAATTATGGTCACAGTGTGTGTTAAGTGCTTAGTTAAGATGCAAAAGGCATTAAATTTATGGGTAAAAGACATGAGCAGAAAACAAGTTTCAACTGATTACAAAGGCACTGAGCCATATGAAGACTTCAGCAAGAGATCCTCTGAAATGAAGGACACCACATCATTTACTGCATGTAAAGGATGGTTACACAGATTTAGGAATAGGTTTGGACTGAAAAATATAAAATTTATTGGAGTGGCTGCATCTGCACTGAAGAAGCTGCTGCCACATATCTAGCAGAGTTGAAGAAGCTGATTAGGGAGAAAAGAAAGTCTTTCAAGCAAGTCTTCAATTGTGACAAAACTTGGCTCTCCTGGAAGAAGATGCCCAATAGAATTGATATTCCTAAAAGTGCAAAGGAGGCAGCAGGGCATAAACATAGGGAAGAACAAAATAACTCTGGTACCATGTAGCAATGCTGCAAGTCATATTATAAAGGCAGGATATATTCTGCATCCAGAACAAAGAACCCATGTGCTTGCAAGAACAAAAGCAAAAATAGTATTTTGAGAGAGAAGACAACATTCACAAACTTTATTTATTTATTTTTGCACTGCTGGGGATCAAACCCATGACTTGAATGCTAGGCAAACACTGTTCCACTGAGCTATATTCTGAGCCCACACATAATTTTAATTATGTATATTGTTATAATTGTTCAATTTTATTATTGTTGTTAATCTCTTCCCGTGCTTAATTTGTAAATTAAACTTTATCACTGGTATGAATGTGCAGGAAAAGACATAGTATATATAGGGTTCAATACTATCCATGGTTTCAGGCATTCAATGGGGGTTACAGTGGATAAGTAAGGGACTGCTGTACATTTCTGCCATATTCTTTTTACTCAATGATTATACCAGACTTGAGCCCTACAGATCTAGCTACAGATATTACACGTCTTTAGCTGTGCTCTCAACTCTGGTCTGTGCAAATATTATACTTCTTAAGAATGACTATAAAGCTACATGAAACTGCTTCTAAAAAATAGTAAAGGCACAAGACTGCCACTTCTAACAGATTAATTCTAAGTAGAACTCTATCCAGCAAATCCTTCTGACTTTACATCATAGATGTTCAGGCAGAGCATCCTTAGTTTGTTTTACTTTTACTTTTTCCTTCTGCTTTCTTTAGCCTATATTTATTGCCTCTTGTTAGACAGCTAATAAATGGGCTTGTTCATCTGAAAATTTCAGTTTTATTTAGCTATATAAAAAAATAAGAAACTCTAGAAAAGCAAGATATAGTCACGGCTATATATATATGATTAATAGGTATTCTCCAGAGATAATCCCTGGTCCATATACAAGTAAAGAGCATGTTTTTACACATTTTTAAAATAGGAAATAGAATCCATTAGTAATCAGTAGAAATTTAAATACTTAGCTCAGTAGTAAAAAGCTTTTTTGTTGAAGAATAATTATAAACATCAAAATCTATCACATTCTTTCTCATAAACCATTAAGTAGTGGGGTGGGAGATATTATTTCAGTAGACAATTCATTCTTTAATAAAAATTATTTCTATTTCTCCTTATTACTGGTAAATATCTATTCTTTACTCTTTTATTCATATAATGAGAATCTTACAATTATTTAAAATATGATCAGAGCATGTTTTTCTTTTCATCTCAGTGGGATATAGGAGTCCATTTTTATAAGACAGATTTATGTTTTAGCTTAATATTCTATGGTTAGGAAAACAAAAAAAAAACATATTTTGCAGAAAAACATTTTAAATCGCACCAGGGAAAACAATTTGGTGCTCACTTGTAAAGAATAGAAATACAGGTAGTAAGATTTGGGGGGCTGGGTGTAGTGGTGCCTCTCTTTAATCCCAGCACTCTGGGAAACTGACATAGGAGGATTGCAAGCTTCAGCCCAGCCTGTGAAATTTAGTGAAACCCTGCCTCAAAATAAAAAAGGGCTGGGCACTGTAACTCAGTGTGAAGGCTGTGGGTTCAATCTCCAGATCCACACAAAAGGAAAAGAAAGTTAGATCTAGTTCTCACTGCAGAAGTGGATTTAATTTACTTAGCCACAGGACCTAAATAGAATGTAAGAGTATGCAGGTGATGTAATAAATGTCTTCTCAAACAAGACACAGACCCTTATAGGGAAGTCCTTGCCTGCCCTTCCTACCTCCAGTCCTTCTTAAGTAATGATACCTAAATGTAAGTCTCATAGTCAGTTGAGTATGATGCTAATAATGCATTCATTTAAGAGAAATATAAGAAACAGACCTTTTTCAGTGGGTACTCTGTGGGAGTCAAAGAAACCATTCTAATACATCAAAAAAATAGGTTAGGACTCCTGGAACTCATCCACAGTATGCAACAATGCTTTCAAGACCTACTTGCCAGGTGAGGGGGAAAAAACCACCCTAAAGTCCAACATAGCATGGATGATCCCAAGATCAATGATAGATTATAGAAAATGGGAAAGCTGTGACTTCATGAATTTCATGGAAGGCTTCTGATGAATCACTTCCCACCACAGTAATTTGGCTTTTTCCCCTTCTGCCATAAGCATTGGGTGAGTTTAACTGACCGGGAAAATGGTTACTGGCTTTACAACAATGGAAATTAAGAGTAGCCCACAAAGAAAAGGAAAGGTCAAAAGGTAAATTCCTCCTTCTGCAGCATATTTTCACCAACTGAACCTCACCCTGTGATTAGCAGCTGAGTTGAGACAGCTGAGTTAGAAATGAGGCGAGAGCAGAAAAAGGAGGGAAATTTTCATGGGTGTGTCAAAAGAAAATTGTGTAAAATATTTGCAAAACGTTAAGTGAAAGGGATTGAGCACTACCTGCTCTTCTGCTGGGACCTGGTCTTTTCATCAGGGGAAGGTGTTCCAGTCCTCTGGGAAGAACAGGCTCTTTGTTTTCGCTTTGTTCTCCATAGTTACTCAGACATTTATTTCATTTAATACTACTTATTCTTATTTATTTTTAACCCATGCAGATGAGGTGGGCTGCCTGGTAAAGTAAGGAAGTAGAAGTCTGAGAATATAGCCTACCCTTTACAAAATAAATAGGAAAGACTATATTGGGCAAAATTCATTGCTTTGCTCTTGGCCAAAAATTGGTGGAGTAAAGATGGTGTTCAAGTAAACAGTAATGGCAGCACTTTTTAACCTATGCTTACCACCTGGCCTCCCAGTAGTTTTCCAGGGTCATCTGTGGAGAGATAATAGTAGCTACCAAAGCTATCTGAGATGTTAGTCCCAACATGTGTCTCCACCTTCCCAGCACCACTTCTTTCCCCTAAGCTTTCTTTCCCCTAACCTCAGAAAGGTGATTAAAAGTGCCCTCAGATTTTTTGTATTTCTTCAGGCAGCCTCCATGAGTGTCTACGAGCCTCTTATAGGTATTTGAATATGTTACCTTAAAGACTGGATACATAAGGACTTTAGATAAAAATTCTAGGGCCGGGAATTTAGCTCAGTGGTTTCGCCGCCTCCTACGCAAGCGCAAAGACCCGAGTTCAATCCCCCGTACCAAAAAGAAAAAAAAAAAATTCTGGAGCAGGGCAAATGCCTATAATCTCAGCTTCTCAGGAGTTTTGAGGCAGAAGGATCACAAGTTTGAGATCAGCTTGGGAAACTTAGTGAGACCTTGTTTTAAAAAAAAAAAAAGGCCCAGAGATACAGCTCAGTGGTTTCTGGGTTCAATCCCCAGTGAAAAAAATCTAAGAGCAGGTAAGTACAATCTATGTGATATTGAATTCCTAGAAAAAAAAAAAAAAACCACAACAACTTTAAAATGGCATTTGGAATGGTAGCATATCAGTAAGATATATAAGTTATTTCTCAAGATGATTATATTTTGTTGTCTATTTTAAGCAAAAATACAATGATACAGAAAAGTGTAGGTCAGGAGACCAATGTGAAATGAGTATGTATATAAGGAAGTTTTGGTATTTTAGTGGTTAACAAAAATTTCTTCTACTTTCTGCTTACAGAGGATGATATGGCATAGAGTTCTATAATCAAGCCTTCCTGTTATCTATTACTTTTACACAATCTCACTTCTACTTCTTCTCAAGCACTTTTCTCTCACCTTGCATATTCTTACAATCTTTGTGTTTCTGTTCAGTTCTTTCTCTTAGGAATACCTTCCCCAGCTTTACTATTCTCTTCAAATTCTGTTACTATACAACATTCAGTTCAACTCCCATTAACTAAAAAGATTTCTGATCTCATTTCAAGCTACCTTGACTTCTCAGCTCTGAATTTTTACATTAGTTATACATTTACACATCACAGTCCATTATTTATTAAACAATGTCATATTATTCTCTAGTTGTTTCGTGAGTATTTCTTGCTTTCTCAAGTCTGAAAATTCCTTTATATTCTCCATAGTGCCTATCCCAGTAAGCACTCAATATACTTACTGGCTTGACCTGAAATCATACAACTGTTACAGGCAATCATAAATGTGTCATTATAATCAAAATTTATGGATTTCTATAAGAGTCCTGGGCACTAATAAACATAATGCTGCAGAATGTCTATTTTTTTTCTCAGTGGATTTCATCTTTCAAATGAATTTAGAAGTTAAAGCCCTGATTGTTAGGAAATGAAATCTATACTGTTTTCTATAACCATGGCCTAGATAGTACCAATGTCTTTATATTTTATTGAAACTACAAATGAAAATTAGGTAGGCAGAATATAATTACTGAAGCTGGAGTATGGCCAGGAGAGTTGAGAGAACACGCCCAATTCCTGCCAAAGATTCTGTTGATAACCACAACCAGACAGAATCTCCACTTCCATGTAGCATCTTAAACATAGTCCCTCCTTTAGCCTTATTCCTTCAGCAAAATAAGGCCACTCTAGCAGTAAGATTTACAGGAGGAATACTTACCTCTAGATTTTCTTAAAGAACAATATTTAATTTTCTTTTTGTTTTGTGTTTGACCAACTTATGAGGTCTACAGGAAATACCCAAAGCAAGTACTACAGTGTTTCTAGCAGGATGTATTAGAATAGAGTCTGAAATGCATCCTATTTTGCTGACTTAAAATAATTATCTCTAGCCAGGTATATATTTTTAAATGCTAACCAACTTTATAGAAGGAGTCTGCTCTTCTTTGGGAAATGTGGAGAATGATATAGTGTGTGTATGTATATGTCTCATGCATACTGAGGAGTCAAAAATTACCTCTTACTCCGCTCTCCACAAGATTATTTCTCTGAGTCCCTTAGGATTATATTAGGCTACTTTGTACACATGTATGTCCCCAAAATCTACACATTAATCATGTAAGTCAGGATCATTGTAAATTCCGAATTTGACTTTTTGGTATGTTATATCCCTCAGCTCCATGTCTTTTCTTTAGGTGCAAAGAGAAACAATTAAAATAAATAAATAAAGATCTTCCACAAGTTATAATGAATTTATAAAAATTCATACTTAAAAGTTATGTATTAGGCTATTACTTGAAATAAAAGATGCAAAAAGATTGTGCCTTCCAATTAAGATCCTAAAAATGTCACTCTAGGTCTTCAATAGTTTCGGGGTAAGAAAAGTTCTTGACTCTCCTTTTGACCACATATCACTAATTCTGAGCTTGTGATGCTCAATAATAAGAAGATGAAAAATCTAATTGGAGTACCTGTTATAGTATTATTTCAAATTCACTTTAGACTATGTTTAATCAAATTGATGACTAGATTCTCACTCACTTTTCTGACTCAAAAACCCCTTACTTCCAAAGAGGTAGCAATAAAATACAACATAACCAAATTCACTATTATGCAGTTCTTACTTGTTAAGCGCTAAGATGCTCACATGCTCAGGTGTCCTTAATATTAAATGCTTTGGTATTGATAATTAAGACATCTCAAAACCTACAGCCTCAGATTTCCTTACTTCAGACCAGTCCAAAGCCACCCACTGAGGTGGACATGACTGGTTGTTGCAGGGCTCTTTTTCGATAGGTCGGTGTGTTAAACAACCATTGTAGTCCAGTGTTTCCTCCTCAGAAGGTCCAATTTTCCTGATGCAGAGCACTGCCCTTGTGCGCATCCCACCATCACAAGTCTTGCTGCACTCCAACCAATCCCCAATGAACCACCTGCAGTAGGAAATGGAAGATTCAGAAAAGCATTTCTTCAGTGCATCCAGAGATCTGCAGCTCAGTGAGAGCATTTACATGAATGGACTACATTCTTTTCCTAGAAAAGATGACAGTTCAATGTTGGTTGATAGAACCAATGGAAAATGGAAGAGCTGCTAAAGAAACAGTTCAGTTAGTATGTTGCCTTCTAAAGTTCAGTACATGGGCTTTGGAGAAGGCAGAACCTATTCTCAAATAGCAATGCACTCTTTTTTTTATTAATTTGTAAAGTAAGGATAACAGATATTTCATGGGATTGTCATGAGGATTAAATAATATATTTAAATTTTCCAGTGTGTGCTGGTACAAGTTTATCAACTGGCTCTCCAGTTGGGAGAAGGAAGTTCTGACTTGTGCATTTGCCAAGTTTTGTAGTGTGAATACCTCATTATGACCACTTTCAAGCTACAAATTTGACATACTGAATATGAACAAGAGAAGACATGCTAATCCTAGAATCCCACAAACAAGTACTGGCTGGCTTTCACACACCTCTGAATGTCACACATGGCAAACAAGAAACTATAAATATTATTATTATTTGAGGCTGATTTTGCCATAATTGAGAATTATACACTAAAATCATCCTAAAGGAGCTGAAGATTTGTTTTCTAATTTCCAGAAATGAACTATTTTGAGGGCAGTAGGCCTTTCTAGTCTTTACAGGGACACAGAAGGCCCAAGCATCTATAGTGAGAACATGTGAGTCTTAATACACCTTCAGCAAATGTAGAACCCTAACCCAGCTCTATGAAGACAGAAATTCCTTGTTTTGACCCCTTCCTCCTTAAATGAGCTTCTATACAGATGTGGGAAGAAACTCAAATGTCTTAAAATGAATACATTTCAAATTTATAGGCATACCACTCGTTTTCCTTGCAATCATCAATGAACTTTCATATACACATAATTTTGGGGGGGGTTGGTAATACTTCTGCAGGACTTACTTTCAATGGAAGCAGAAATTGGTGCAATGGGTGTGAAAATGATCCAACTCAGGCCGATGAGAATTCTACTTTAGAAATTTTATATCTTAACTGGAGCAAAGGGTGCTTTTCCTTTTTGGTCACAAAGCTGTACAAGGACATGAGTCTAGAGTTTTTGGTGGCCATGACTGCTCTCAAGTAGAATTAGCTGATGTGAACGAATGCAGAAAAGCTAGAGAGTTCTGAGAGTGTTTGAGTCACTGATTCTAACAATTCTTCACACTAGGTCTACCCTTACTTATACTTCCCTTGTCTTTGTTACATAAAGTTTATGTATAGAAGCTAGCTCAAGTTGAAATTTCATTATTTGCAACCACAGTCTTGGCTGATATATGACTGTATTTAGTTTAATAAATATTGCTGAGTCCCTGCTCTGTTTCAGGCATTGTGCTTTGTTTTATAGAAGAAAACAACATCATGAGAAAACATCCTCCAACATCATGAGAAAAGCAGGGATGGGACCATGATTCAATCCCCCATCAATTGTTATTTAAACCAAATTTCATTTTTAAACATTGCTGAATAAGAACTGTAAGTCACAAGATATTTTCTTCAATCCATGATTACAAGTCATGCAACAATAATCAATGAACATGTTTATGCTCTCAGGCAGGAGACTATCCAGAGAAAAGAACATGAAAAGCTTATGAACAAATTCCTCACTATCTCCATGAGCATAGCTTTACTATGCCAGTTTTGTATATGGAATGTAATAACTTAGTGAGGTCAGATTACTAGTTTCCTGAATTTGAGCCTGCGTTTAACTAACAAAGCCACAATGACCTTTATTTGTTATTTTTTTATATTACCATTATTTACAGAGGAAAATCACCATTTAGAAATATCATGGTCAGTTTTTAAAATTCAAAATATTTTTTGTCAAAATCTAAAGATGTTCAATCTAAAATTTATTTAAAGAATGATCATTTAATCCTGAATTTCAAAAATCTGACACAAACATTTTTTTTCTATTAAGGCATTTTCCAAAGGATATTTAAAATGATTTTCATATTGCTTCCTTTTTGTTTTCCCCTGATGAACATGATCCCAAGTTGTTAGTACCATTTTTGGTAAGGAGGAAAATGTGTACTGAGACTAATACTTGCATGCTGGCCATAGCGAAACTCTGATTCAATTTGCAACAGTGATTTCATCACCAAGATTAGAGAATAAAACAGAAATGTGTACAAGTCAGCCACAAAAAGCTCAGTCATTCCACCTCCGGTCATGATTTCATTAGGTCTCAGAATGTATGAGGGATGGAGGCCTTCAAATTAAACACAGGTGCTCGGAGTTAACAGCAGTGATTCAGAAGGTGTTGCTGTTATTTGGAGCACAGGGTCAGGCCACCTCTGTCTTTTTCTTCTTTGTCTCTTCTTTTATTGCCAATCATCTCTCCTCAGAAGCTTAGCCTAGATACATCACTGTACCCTTCACCTTGGAATATATGAAAGTAAGAATATTAATCATTTTCCTAATTTCCTTTCTGACTTTAATTTTAGGTTTCACCTTCAGCCCACCTTGTATCTTTCTTGTGTATCACATTATCCCTTCCCATGTCTCTCTGAAGTATTAAATTTCACCCCACTTTTACGATTTTATCATTACATCTGCTTGTCTCTGTCTTTGTATTATCCTGTATAGTTAAAACATACTGTTCCCTTCATCTTCCTTCTCCACTTATTTGACCCTGTGATGCAGTCTCCCTAGTAGTATGTCTTTTTGTTTTCTTCTCTTTTAAACACAATGGTAAACGTATAAGCACATTCTCTATGGGAATGTCAATGGCTAGATCTTTACAGCTTGAACAATCCTAGGACTGTATGTATGTATGTATGTATGTTTGTTTGTATTTTTCTGAGCTCTTTCCAACATTCAGTGATCAGACTGTCTTCATCCTCAAAAGTGCCTTCAAATCCATTAGATGCTAATAATTACATTCATGTATGTCAAAAATAAGACTGACTTGCCAAAGCCTGTAAAATCTCTGCATTCTCAGTCTCTTACGATACTAACAATAATAATACCTGGAGGAGGGAATATGAGAGACACTATACAAAATTTTTTCCAATGTTGATTATTACTGCTTTGCAATTTAAAGGAAATGGCAGAATATATAAAATTAAATTGATATTAAATATTCAGATTAAGAGAGAGGAGTGGAGAGGGAGAGAGAAATGGGAAAAGAAACAGAGAGGGAGGGGGAGAGAGGGGGGAGAGAGTGACAGAGAAAGAGAGAGAGAGAATATATATGAATGCTAGAGTGATAGAGTGCAAAGACAGATGGGGAGGGGACTGATTTCCCAGTCTTTGTTCTAGAGTTAAGGATCTAATCATCAACCCTTTTAATAAACACAACATAGCAAAAAAATTTTTAAATTTTAGAATTTGGCAATAACATCTTTAATCAATGAGAGATTCAATTATACAACCTATTGTCTACTTACAAATTTACTAAAATTTGCCTAGGTTTTTTTTTTTTTTTTTTGTACCAGGGGTCAAACTTGGGACCTTGCCCTTGTGAGGCACATGGCAGAACCACTGAGCTAAATCCCCAGACCTTGCCTAGGTTTTAAAATACTTTTTAGACAGATTTTCAAAACAAAAAGATGGTAAATAAGAAATTCTTTATTCCTCAGCAAACTGGAAAGTGAAACTAATATTGAGCAGAATTCTCTATGTCCTAAATATTCTACAGACAACATTTTCCTAAATTAAAAAAAAAAATCAATGGCCATATTGGTTTTACTGCTCTGACTTTCACAAATTTACAAACCTCAATATCATACAGGAATAATATTTAGTATTTTAAGATTCTTCACATTAAGCCATATGTAGAAATATTGTTGCTATTAAAACAGCATGGTAAAAACTCAACTGTTAGTCTTTGTCTTTGGATTCTAACTCAGCATTGCCTCCTTTTCTTATTGAGGTGACACAAGATACTATCAGTCATATCCTTTAATAGCAACTCCTCCCTTTCTTTTTTTCTAATCATTTTAATCCTGTGCCATGGCTTCCATTATTTTCACTCATAGTCAATTCACCACCTTCACTACTATACTCTTCCTTATTAAAAAAAATGCTGTGTGACACACTAATTTTTTCTAGTTAGACCTCTGTTGGCCCTTCAAAGTGTTCCAAATAAACACTGCTATTTTATTTCTGCCAATACTCCTTTTGTGTCATTTTCTTTATACAGTGACATAGCTAAGTGTGTTCTGTTTATCCATACTCTACTTACAACTGCTTTCAATATAACTAAAGACATTTGAAACATTTCATTATTTGAAAAGATACTTTCTGATTTAAAAAACTTTAAATTTTACTATTGATACTGGGAAAACAATACTTGAAAATATAAATTCCTTCCTCAAGTCAGGCAAATATATTTCAGATACATTAAAGTTTACATTAAAATAAAAGTAATTTTGAAAGCACAATCTCGGAGTGGGTGAAATCTTCTAAACACTATACCAATGAAAGAAACAGAAGTTTTATAGTTTTCCTAAATAATTTTTTAAAAATTTACCAGTAAAAATAAATCAAAACATCATAAATAATATGGAAGACATGACAAACTAGGAAAAGTATTTGGAACATAAATAAAGATATGATTAATACACATTGAGTTGATAAGAACAAATAATAAAATGAATACTTCCATAGAAAAATGGGACAGACCATGAAGAGGAAAAAGAAGTAGTATAAATGGCTACTGAACGTAATTTTTAAATGTTCAATCCCATCGACAATCTAAGAAACACAAAAACACAATCACATATCAGGTTTTTTAACCCATATAATAAATAAGACAAACTAGTAATATCAGTGTTGTTCAGTTCAAGGAAATGGCATTCTTATACACTGTTAGTGGGAATATATATCTTCATCCAATCTTTTTAGAGAACACTTTGACAATATGTCTTAATGAGTAATGTACATCCATTTGAGCCAGAAATTCTATTCCTATTTATTTAGCATAAGGACATAATTATGGAGACCAAAGTTTTAGTGGCAAAAGTTGGTGCTGTGTTATCACAGGAGCTCAAAAGTTAGTATATAGTCAAAATTGCACAACAGTGAAAAACCAGTTTAAATAAACAGTGACATACTACTAAATGCTGTCAAAGATATGTCCAAAATATATTGAGAAATGACTACATGACTAAATTATCTTAAGTGTTACACCATTTTGTTACATACAGATGCCTATGTATACATAGGAAAAAAGACCGAAAATACATGAAAATATTAACTAGCATTATAGGTGTTTTTTCTTCTTTTAGTTTATGTGCCTATCACATCATTATCTGAAAAAAAAACCTGCTACACAGTCAGTCTTACTGAATTATAGTAGTCTTTCTATGATTTTTAATCCATTTTATATAATGTGTACTGGGAATCTTATTACATATGACAATCATTCTAAAGAATTATGATTTCCTCTTTCATAGCATGAATTCAAATGAATAAAGAAGAAACTGAAAAGGAACTTTAAAATGAACTTTAACTTTAATGAGTAATAGTTTAAATATGTACCTTAGATATTTTCAAAAAAGAAAACTGTCAGACTAAATTTTTCTATTTTTGCATATCCTGTCTATCTTTCTCTTTTGAATTCCATTGTCCCACTTCTAAACTTAAATAAGTAATTTCAATTCAGACGTATAAGAGGTAACAAATGAGGAAACTTAATTTTAATCATGTATGTTAATATCTCGATTATTCTGAAATCATTAAACAACTCTAATATAATACTTAAACATACAATGTATGGGATAGAATGACCAATGAGTGAAATCTCTGAGAACACTGGACTTTTAAGTATGTAAACTTAAAAAACTTGGACCAAAATTAAACAGGTTTAACCAGTTCCATTCAGATACCTTACATGGCTGAGTAAATGCCAAACATGATACTTAAAATCTATAGTATAAAGGAATTAACTTGATAAGTTGAGACTCACAATTACATGAAACACACAGAAGTTATTGGAAAAAATGGAATGAACAAAATTAGCCTACAGATTTTGACCATCACTTTGTTTTACCCAGGTTTTAGTTTTATCTTGAGATAAATTTATAAACATAACTGGCAGAAAAAAAGAAAACAAAGAAAAAGAACTTGTTTCTTGATACATATGATAGGTCATATTTCCATATTTTCTTATGTTTGGATTTTAAGGAATTAGTTACATGGTGATCATATTTCAAAAAGAATAGGTATAAACATACAAAACCTTAAAATAAAAATGTTTTCCACTCTAGGTACTTCATATTCCTTACTTGGTAGCTACTACTCTAAATCTTTTCAAAAGACTAGTAGATTCAAATGTTCAGGCAGATACTGACTTCAGATAATATAAATTCATAAAACGTTACTGCTTTGGAACAAATATTAAGAAATATATCTTGTTTTAACCATATGAGGGACCTGGATATTATATCCAGTGTTAAGTCTCAGGTTTTTGTGACTCCAATATGATCATTTTCAGAAGGGGATTGCTTCATTATAAAGTTCTTTACAATTCTAAAGAGTTTAGGACATATAAATTCATTTGCTTACTTTTCTTTTCCTTATCAATTTCATGTTGGGAACATTAGGTGACCAAAGAGTTAATATTTAATCTGATTTCTCAAATAAGAATGACATTTAGAGATCAATGTTATCATGATCAAATTAGCCTCCTTGCCTATTTTCACACAATTATTGCCTTTTGTTCAATCACATAATTATTGGCTTTTGTTCAATCTTTCTATTCCCACAGATTATAAAGTGTGGCTCACTGACAGCATGTCTCATTTTATTTTATTTTTTTCTTAAATTCTTTTATTGGTACATTTTAGGTATATAATTCGTTTACATTTATCATTGGGTGCTTGTACCTGTACATGATGTATCTTGGTTCTTATTTTTTCCCCATTACCTGTGCACTCTTCACCCCTCCACCCTTCCCTATTTACATACTTTGTTTCCATTTTTTTTTTCTTTTCTCATAATTTTTCCTTTCCATTCTTTCCTTTCCCCATCTCCTCCCATCACCCTACCCCTTTGGACCTTTTCCTATTTCAAAGTATCTATCATTCGTTTTTAATCCTTTTAGTCCTTATTTACACTCTCAGTTTCTCACACTAGAGAAACTATTTGGTATTTACACGTGTGTCTTATTTATTTCACTTAAGAGTATGGCCTCAATATGCATCCATTTAGCTATAAATGACTCTAGTTTCTCATTCTTTATGGCTGAGTAGTACTCCATTTTATAAAAGAACCACATCTTCTTTATCCAGTTTCCAGTTGATGGGCACTTGGGCTGTTTAGGTCTCATTTTAAAGTCATCATAAAAGTGGCTTTCCTAGGCCAGGGATTTAGTGGTGCCATGACTACCTCGCAAGTGCAAGGTCCTAAATTCAATCCCCGGTACTGGGGGAAAATAAAAAGATGGCTCTCCTATGCCTTCCTTTACAGTGAGTTGTAATTGCTATATTAATCAACAGAGATTGAAGTAGCCCTGTATGTCTGTGCCCAAAACTCACAAGACCAGATGCCTTCTAACAGTGGAACTTAATTTAAAACACCATTATTTTATATATCATTAAGAAAGGGGGGAAATGCCAATTATTGTTGTAACACCATCAGTTACAAAATGAATCTATATTCAAAATGTTAAAATATTAAAAGATGAGTTTGCCTTACAGTTGATGAACTATAATTTCCAGCACTGTGCCAGGACCAAATTTATTGAAGTTCTTTCTTTAAAGAAGTCAATAACTGAAACCTATAGATGAATAGGAATCTTTGCTTAGTGAAAAACCATCAAAATTCTACCACCTATGATGGTTTCTCTTTTTCTTCAGTCTAATTCATTTGTATCACATGAATATGTTTCTAAATATGAATACATAATGGATTTTCTAGGTACATCAAGAAAATAATTCTCATTTCTCTCTCTTACTTACTCGGGGGGGCAGGGCTCAGTATTGCAGGCTCTTTGATTTTCAGGTGGTTTACTGTCAGGATCACAATAACTGTTCTTGACAATGGAGTTGTCATCCAACCTTTTACAGACCACCTCCTGTCTCTGGACACCTTGAAAAAAGGAAAACAACATTCAATGAAGAGTAGTTTACCTTCCAATAAATTAGGTGTGCATAGCTTTCCTCTGTGGGAATCAACCTCACTGGATCGCTGATGACTTATCTGTTCCAGAAACACTCGACTGCTTCTCTAAAAAGGAGAGAAGTCCTGGTCGTTATATTGAAATTTTAGTCAAAATTATTGTTCTCATATTTAGAAATATAACAGTTTTCAAGTCCAGAAAAGAAACCATGGATAGCATTAGTATTCTCATTTATATATTCATCTTTGTTCTTTCCTTAAAAATCAAAAATAAATCTTAAATTTCCTAAAACATCATCAGAAAATATTTATTAATATACATTTCAATGCAGAACAATGGCTGTATATTTATTTAAAAATAAAACACTAGGGACCAATTTGCTTTTTGATATTTTGTAGAACAAACCCCATTAAATTTAGTTTTTGTTAGGCTATATCACATCCATTTTGCATTTGTTTCTTCCTCTTACAGATGTGTATTTTCAAAAGCCCATGTAGTTTAAAATTTGAAGATTGTAGTGGACCCCTTTTGTACTGTAACCAACTAGTCTGTTTCTCTTAACAGTGTTGGATACCTACTGATACCATTATCAAAGAGACACACGGTTTGTTCAAAAATTGAGCTACAAAACAGTTATCTCATTCTTAAAAAATTAATCTAAGTGACCTGTTTACCACAACTAAAAATATTCTCATTAGAAAATTCTAAATGTTTGTAAACACTTTTATTTGTAAACATCATTTTCTCTTTCATGTGAAGGAATTAAAAGAAGCAAAAACAGGTATATCAAGATATTGAAGGGAAGCAAACCAAACTATAAGATAATGTTTAGTATTTCAAACTATATAGAGGTTTCTCCTGAAAAAGGAAAGAAAAGCATAAACCAAGCTGTCCCCACAATCACAAACCCCATTCCTATTAACAGGCAAGCTAAATTTCCCAGGAAGAGTTGTAAAAATAGCATTAACAGTATCCAGGAAATCACAGTTTCTCATTTAGCTAATCCCACACAATCTTTCAGGTTTTTTTTTTTCAGTTGTTTAAAGTAATAGTACACTTAAAAAAAAAGTTTGATCACAAATTAGAGAAATCCATGTTAAATAGGTTCATTGGTGAAAGAAACTGTCACCTAAAGAGCTAAACATCAAATGCTCCCTTCAAGGACCCTTACGAATCACAGGAAATTTCCCCCATGGGAGTACTTCCGTTGGCATGTTATACACCTTTAATTAAGCCCTTTGAATTTAAAGATTGTCAAGCTCATGAGACTTAGATCTGGTAGCCTCCATGACAGTGGCAACTCAAGTAGGCATTCTTATTGCTTGCACTGACTTAAGGCTTCCACTTTCAGCAACAAAATTTTAGGTTTTCCTAAATTATGGGTCTAAAACATAGCCAGTTTACTGGCAAGATATTTTAAACTATTGTATTATATTCATTCCCTCTCAGTCCCTAGAATAGGCCAAACAGCTCAGTTTATGCGATGACAACAATTTGGAATTTTTAAACTATTAAACTTTAGATTTTTGAGGGAAAAATGATTCACATCAGACATAGCTGTAATCTATCCACAGATGTTCCATGATATTCATTAGATTACCTCCCTGTTGTGTCATTCAGTGGGCAGATAACTCAATCCATGTGGTCCACCTAGACAAATACCTCTACCATTAGTCTTAGTATTCAACTACCGACTGCAACAGTGGCTCAGATTATCCATCCATTCTGGTTCAATATATTGCTTAAATCAGTCAATTCATTCAAATGTGACTATACTTAAAAAAGGAATGATGGAGTTTAATACAATATCTTGGCTGTTTTTCAGAAAAGAATATACATTTTCAACTCTACAAAATGGAACTGATGCTTTGTTTCATTGGCAGAATTAACTCAGTTTCTACAGTTAAGATAAATTCGACTTTCCTTAAATTAACTCTATAAATGTTGAGTTATTTTATATTTGTTCAAAAATAGCCTTCAATTTAAAGCAGAGTGTTTGTGATTTGAATCACGATGAGATATTAGTAGAGATAATTAGCAGAGATTTTCATTTCAACAAAATTCTAACCATGGATTTTTTTAAACAGGGTCTCACAATGTGTGTAGTTCAGGCTGGCCTTGAACTCACTATGTAGCCCAGGATGGCCTCGAACTTGTAGTGATCTTTAAGCCTCAACCTTCCGAATCCTGGGATTACAAGCATGAGCCAACATGCCCAGCTCCATGTATGTATTTTGAAAAAACTTTCTATATAACATTTATTCTTAAAAACTTCAAAAATATGCAAAACTATAAGGAACAAAATAAAATTATTCATAGTCCCATAGCTTAATTCTTTATATTAGTATATTGCTATTTGGTGAGATACAGTGGTTGGTTTAAAATTACATGCATATACAAATTGTCAGATTAATGTGGTTCACAGGTCATTCACTCATTCATTCATTCAACAGATAATAGTTACTAAATGCAAACACTTCTTATAAGATACTGGACTAAGTGCTAAGAATAAATTGATAAATTTTGGCTAGGGCTTCTTTAACTCTAGGAATTAACAATATTTCTGAGTATATATCAGCTTCATAATTTTTGAGTGATTTTCTTCTGAAGCAAAAATTAAAGTCCTTAAAGAGAGCTAAAGTTGTTCTATATTTTAGGGAGATGCAATTTTCCTTGTATTCATATTTTATTAATTTTCTTCAAAAATGTCATATTAGATAGTGTGGTATTTCACACTCAAGAATTGCTAAACCAGTAATCTATTCCAAATTTTCCTACAACATTCTACTATTTTCCTGTAATAGCATACAAATCTCCTTCCAACTTTTACTCCCACAAATGGCAGGTTTACAGATTTTTTCCTGCTTTGATTTTAAGTCAGTAACAACAGGATAACTCTGTAAACCAGTGCACCTAAATGGATAAATTTTTTTAAATATACTTTTGAATTAAGGCAAGCACCGTTTTTAATTTTTGAAAGTCAAAAATATAGATTAAATGAAAATATTTTATGTCAACAAGAGAAATGGAATTTGGAATCTTTTTATATTGATCAAGTCTCTTGTACATAGCTTCTTTTAAAATAGTCTGTAAAACATTGCTAAGTTGATTTTAAACTGTCAGGAATAATTACATTCGGTTACATAAAACCACTATGCTTCCAAATTTAAAGATTTAATAGTTTATAAGCTCCCCCCAATTCTCATGATCAGTTAGTATATATCTAATCAAAAACAAAATTCTAGTGGCTCAGTGTTCATATGTCCTGGAGATAGACAGATGTCTTGCAGAATTTAATTGGCCAAATTTAAAACTGCTTTACTTACATTTTATTCTGAAACACTTAAAGTTACTGACACACAAACTTTATACCTGCTGCTTTTAATTTAATCCTTCTCCTATGCTTTCAAAAAGTGATTTCACATTATGAAAATTAACACTCAAATATTGCTAATACTTTAAGTCCTCTAAAAGATGAATACTTGTTTATTCCTTTAATTTGTGTAATTTTACTTTTTGATATTAGAGAATCAAGTATGATGGTATGATAGTTCTTAACATAGAAATGTAATTCTTGGGCTAAGACTGTAGCTCAGTGGTAGTGTGCTTGCCTATTATATGGAAGACCCTAGGATTTGCCTTACCACAGCATCCAAAGTAGCTAGCAATGAAGACAACACTATATAACCACAGTATACACAGCATATGACCAACAGTATTAATTTAATCTAAATCTTAGTTCAGATAGCATCCAAAGAGCAATAAGTGCCAGGAAAAAAACATGTCTCTCTTCTCCGCCATACACTTCTGGAATCTGGCTGTTGTGCTGTGTAATTGTTGGCCAGACACAAGCATTGCAGGGCAGAGCAAAACCCATCTGTCTTGGATCTAGCAGCTGGCATCCAGGTACCAATCAACTCTATCCATATGGTTTACTTATTCTGAAAAGTCTGCTGGTAGTTTTTGTCTTTCTCTTATCTGTCTTTCCAGTGTCTTCCTTTCTGTCCTAAACAAAAGTAGATGTCTTGAGGAAACAGGATGATCAAAGGGCAAATTTTGATCTAAAAATCTTGTATTTTTCTAGAGCAACATACAATGGGTTTACTTGAAATCACACTATGTCTAGAAAGAATCCCTACTACTCATTAGGTATTAATAGTAATCTCTTCGTGAAAAGTATATCTATCTATCTATCTATCTATCTATCTATCTATCTATCTATCTATCTATCTCTTATATAAAAGAAACCATGAAATATTTAAGCTTGTGTGTCTGACTTACTCCACTTAAAATTATGTTCTCAAATTGCACCCATTTTCCCATGAATGCCTCAAGTTTATCTTTCTTTATGGCAGAGTAGCACTCCATTGTGTTTAAATGCCACATTTTCTTTATCCATTCATCTGTGGATGGACATATTATAGCTATTATAAATTGTGCTCTATAAACATGGGTATGCATGTATGTAAGAGTCTTTTTTATCTATACTGAGTAATATTTGGGCCATTTTTTTAGAGACCACAATACACAGTATACTATTATTATTCTCTAATTATTTTTTATGAAACTTTATTTTTTCATAAAAGTAAGAATAATGCTTTTCATATTTTCTTTATTAAGATCTACTTGTATTACATTAAAATAAAAAGTATCTAACTTCTAATTCATTGAGTTCCTACTATATGTAAGGCATGATTTTCATTACCATAAACAGGAAATAAGACAATCTTGATCTCAATGAGATTATATTAGTATAGGAGCAGGGAGCTAAGGAAAGTATAATTATATTATAATTTATTATAATTATATTACGTGAGGGAAGGTAGCTTATCTCATAAAATATTGCATTTTCAGTGTGATATTTTTAGTGTTACTGCCTTGCCATTTTGTTATATTGCTGATTTCTCTTTCCTTGATCCTCACTGATCTTAAGAACTCTTTTCATAGCCAGATCACCATGATGTCATTC